GTATAAAATCCATGTGTAAAAATTTCCTGTATAAAAATTCCATGTCGTTTTTCCACAATGGTAGAAAACTGATACCAATTCCTTGAGTCCAGTTTGGAACTGGAATGGTCTTTTGAGCAGGGCAGTGGCTACAAGTCTGGGGTTTGGGTGCAATTTGACATATGTGGGTGTAAAATCTGGCCCTGTTGCTCAAACATTGATGGATAATGTATAACATATATATATATATATATATATATATATATAGAGAGAGAGAGAGAGAGAGAGAGAGAGAGAGAGAAAGAGAGAGAGAGAGAGAGAGAGAGAGTATCCTTAGCTATTTTCTTTTGTTGTATAGATTTTAAAAGACACAGCTTTTCATATGTAGGACATAATTAAAGTAGGTGATCAGCAATATAATTTTACTTTATTTCCGAAGTCATTATTTTACTGAGTTAAAAATGGCAGTATAATTATGTGTCCAGTGTATATATATATGTGTGTGTGTGTGTGTATGTGTGTGTGTGCGCACACACACATGCGTGCATGCACACACATACATAGGTGTGTGCATGTGTGAGGTGAAGATACTGAGTGGCTTCCTAGTTTTATATCTCCCTTGGCTTTTGAGACACGGTCTCTCATTGACTCTGAGTCTCACAGATTTCAGTGAGATCTCACAGCTAGAGTGACTGGCCATCAAGTCATAGGGATCTTCGCACTGTGGTATGCACATACCCATCCTCACACATTCACCGTGCACACATGTCCACATAGAGAAAGACTAAAGCAAATAAATAATGAAAAGAGAAGGTGATGGATCAAGAGCGGTGAGTGTTAGTTAGCGTGCTGCTGCGCTAAAATGCCATGACCTGAAGCAGCTTGGAGAACTTAAGAGTTTGTTTTCTGCTTAGTCATAGAGTTCATCATGGTGGAGACGGGAAAGGACAGAATGGAGGAAAGAGCAAGTACTCAGTGCTTACATTTCATCCATATACAGAAAGGAGAAAGAGAGAGGGAGAGCAAGGGGGAGAGCGTGACTATGGGAGGTCGGGTGAGGTTGTAAACCTTCAAAACCTGCCTCTGAGGACGTGTTTCCTCCAGCAAGGCTCCACCTCCCGAAGGTTCCATGATTTCCCCAAACAGCAGCACCAACTGGGGACCACGTATTCAAATGTGTGAGCCTAGGGGGACATTTCTCATTTGAATCACAGCATGGTGTCACTTTAAGTGTCCAAAGACTTCGACATTTTCTCTGTGTGAAGGGAGAATTTTGAGCAGAGACCCCAAGGATTCCAGGATAGGAAGTAACTAGGGAATTGTGAACTATGGACTGAGGGTTTAGACTGTAAACTGAGGTCTGCTTTTATCCCACATTGGCCTTTTTCTCTTTTGTTAGTGAGACTCGATGCTAAGGCATCTAGAGGTCATTAAAGAAACAAGCCCTTTTCTCTTCAGCTCCTATGAATCTTAGGCTCACAGTACTGGACTTCCTCCCACAGGGAGATGCCCTCCCGTATTCTTCACTCTGAGAAAACTTCCTTGAGAGCCAAGTGTCTGCTTTTTATCCACAGACTCCATTGGCTAGGCACTGTCTTCTGGGTAGCTACTTTGGGGAGACACTCAGCTAGCTGAGTGGCTTCCTGTACAGGGCTGGAGGCTGCCCTGGTTGGCTTTCTGCTGTTGTCACAAACACCACAACCAAAAGAAACTTAAAGGAAAACGTTTACGCTTTATAGTCCATCATCCAGGGAAGCCAAGGCAGGACCTCAAAGAATCAGTTTACAGCAGTAACCATGGAGGAATGCTGCTTTCTTATACAGCCCAAGCCCTCCTGCCTAGGGACGGTACCACCCACAGTGGGCTGGTCTTTCCTACATCAACCCACAGTTAAAAGAATACCTTATAGATATGGCTACCGGCCAGTCCAATCTGAGCATTTCTTCAGCTGAGTTCTCTTCCCAAATGACTCTACATTTGTGTCAGGTTGACTGCTAAAGAAGCCATGATCTGTGTGGGCTTTATGCCCCTCCATTCCTTATTCCTAGCTCCATCTTCACCCAGTCCACTGAAGAAAATCCTTTATTGTATTATATGTTTGTAAGTCATTACAATGTGTCAATCTGCAAACCCCAGCCTTTTAAAAATAAAAAAATAAATTCAGTTCAAACTTTCAGGAAGTGGTATTCTATTTTTGGTTCCATAAATCATATATATGTATCTACATACACATACCAGTCTGTGCACAGAAACACAAAGACAAGAGCATGTGTGTAGCTAACCCAGGAATAGCTGCTACATTGCTAGTGAGTTTATCCCAGCTGGCTACTTCAAGCTCTCTACCTGTCACTTTATGGCATATCACTATAAGGTCTCTTGATAGTCTGAAGTCTGAAACTGTACTCTACGTTGCTTACCTCTGACCTGATTTAATGACTTTGATTGATTGATTGATTGAGTGAGTGAGTGAGTGACTCATTGATTGATGGACTGATTTTCACAGTCTGAAAAAATCAACAAAGAAAGGGTATTTGTTGCTCTGGATTTTATCTTTCTGAACTCCTTGAGTCATTATCAAAACCTGAGGTCAGGCAGTGTCAAAAAATTCTGTTGCCCAAGTGTTACTTGTGTTAGCTTTTCATCTGTGTCAGAACAGCTGAGACAAACAGCTGAGCCGCAGGAAAGGTGGGTTTGGGCTGGCAATCTTGCAGCTTTCGGGAAGTGCTGGTTTGGTCCTGTTGCTTCAGACTCCATGCCATGGGGAATAGTGGGTGGTAGAATGGAACTTCTTGCTTCAGGGAAGCTGGGAATGGAAAAGACATGAAAGGAGTGGGGATCCCAACATCTCCTAGAACATTCTCCCAGAGGCCTGGCTTCCATCCATAGGACCCTGTCTGTTAAAGGTTCCATCACTTCCTACTGCTGCCCCAGCCAGGGACCAAGCCAACTGTAGAGGAATACTGAAGATTCGAATATTAACATTTAACACTTCCTGCTTTAATACCTACCCTAACACTGATGTTTTCTATTTAGTGTTTAATTGATTATTATACTTAAAACTTGAAAACAGAGAAAAGGCAGATACATCTTGATTTTTTTTAAATCTGAACTCATTTTTTTCTGTTTCTAGATAATTCTTTTCTGCTAATTTCTGTCCCTGCTTCTGACCATGAAGTTTTCTGTCCTTCCCTTTTATTTCTCCCTCCCGTCTCTGCGATCTCCCCTCCATTGCTCTTTACTTGCCCTGTGTTTCTCTTTCCCTTGTTTTTTCCGCTTTTGAGGCAGCACCTTTTTAGATTCGGCTCAGCACTGTTAGTCAGCTTTCTATCAGTTTGGTGTGACTGGATTCTCAGTAGTCTAGATCTCTTTCACATCACCTACCTCCATTCGCAGGTCTGCCTCTCTGGTTAGAATAATAACTACATTAATAATCTTTAGTGAAGTAGGAACGTACTCTGGACATCATCTCGTGCTTCTCAGATGAGAAACGCTCCCTTTGAGCCATCAGTATTTTCTCCTATTCCTGTGTGAGTTGGGCATTCCCACCTCTGGGCCACAGGTTAAATTTTTACATATTATTAAAACAGTTCTGCAGGTGACAGTTAGGGACCTTTTGTTCAAGGAGAAGGTACTCTGGCTTCACCCTGGGGCAGAGGTCTCTAGTGAATCTCATGACTGGCTTCATCTCACCATGCAAATTAGACTTCCTTCACTGCCCGCCTTGAGGGGAGCAGAGTAACTTCTCAACCTAGTCCTGCAGCTGTCGGCTCAGCCCGCTATGCTGTGTCACACTGGCCACCCGAGGTACCTCTGGAAGCAGGGAAGAGAAAATCCCTGGGGAGCGAGCACCCCAAAGCTTGCTCATGGCATTTGGTAAGAGTTCTCCATAAGGTCCCTGGTTGATTTGAATTTTTTTTTTTTGTTTTTGTCTTTTGAGACAGGGTTTCTTTGTGTAGCCCTGACTATCATGGAACTTGCCCTGTAGGCAAGATTGGCCTCAAACTCACAGAGATCTACCTCTGCCTCCTGAGTGCTGGGATTAAAAGCATGCACTACCACTTCCCTGGTGATTCAGAATATTTTTATCACATGGCTTTGAATTAGACAGAAATAGAGTGATCCTCGAAGGGAGGCGAAACTAAAGAAAAATCTGGGTGTGGTGGAGCATCTCTGTAATCCCAGGACTTGGGAGGTCAAGGCTGGAGGATCAGGAGTTCAAGACTAGACTCTACTATAGAGTGGTTTTGTGGCCAGCCTGACTACATCACACCCTGCTTCTGAAAAGCAAAACCTAAAATGGCTCATTGATTCTTGCCCTTCCCCACTTAGAATCTGTAACTCTTCCATTAAAGAGAGGCTGCTGATACACCAATTCTTGCCATCAATGAAAATGGAACTGTTAAAGTTCTGAATCCTGAAGTTGTGAAGTATGGTAGCTCACTGATCTGTGTTTATTTTTCTCTTTTATTTTGTTCCTAATTGGGACAAAATAAAAAAATTTTTTAATTGGGAGAAAATAAAAAATAAAAAAGACTCTGGGCCAGAGTCTTTCTTTTATCTGGGTTGAAAATAAAGATTAGAAAAACTAAATCATCATAGACATAAGATGATCCGATTTATTCTTAATCTGCTCTTAAGCACAAGGTTATCTTGAATGAGCACAGTTCCAAGTATTTTCCAGAAACCCAAATTCTGCCAGATCACTGGGTAGCTCAGAAACGGGACTTTACAATGGAACTCACCAGGAGTGACAGTCCCCCTTAACATGGGCCCTCTCATCCAGATTGTCCCTAAAGTGTGGTTTCAAACAGCTCACCTTTAACAAGAAAGCCCATTTACCAGCTAAGACTAAGCCAGTGGAGAATCAAAATGAAGCAGCCGGCCCAAGGTACTGGAGCATTCATCTTCTCAGGGCCTCGCAGCCCTTTGAGCAGACATGAGTGACAGTAACTCAGACAACAGGCTGGGAGCGAGACAGCCAAGCACTGAGAATAACACGTCTGTTTTGTTTCTCTTTCCAGGCTTGAGATTTTTAAGAGCTCTCAGACTGATACAGTTCTCAGAAATTTTGCAGTTTCTGAATATCCTTAAGACAAGGTAAGATGGTTTTCACCTGTCTGGTTCCCAAGGGCCAGGTTGTAAATATCAAGTATATTTGCTATGATCTTGTTAAAAGGATAGAGCTGTGTTATTCACAGGAAAAACTAGCTGGAGAGTTAGTCTACTAAGGTAGAGCTTGCGTTTTTCTCCTGCAAAGCCTGGGAGAAATAAGAGAAAAGGGGAGGTATGGTTATGTCCCTGGGAGGAAGATTCAGTCTGGCAAGGTCACATGACTGGTATCTGGGCACCAAGTGAGGCTGCAACAGAGACTCGTGGGAGAGGTGCATGGAGGATGAGGGATGGATTTGCTCATTGATTGGGAAGTCCGTGCTGCCAGATCCTAAATGCTTCTTTAGTTACCACTAAACAAGAAACTGTACTTGGCCATAAAGGGAAGAGAAACAATGCTCCTTGACAGGCAATCACAAACCTCATACGGCAAACAGAAAATCATTTCATTCCTAAGTTTATTTGAGCTATTTCACTTTATATGAATGGAGCCCTTGGGGTGTGCTCTGCAGACTGCCTTGTGGGGGAACCCCAAACACCTCCAGGCAAATGCACTATGACTGCTTCTGCTGACTGTATTATGGTCTGGAAAACATGGACAGGACAGGGGCAGAAGTCCTCTAGAGAACACCCTGCCTGGTGCCTTGTCAGTGCCCAGAGCTGGCCTGAACCCCGGGCTGCACTGGTGCACACGCTAATAAGAGGGTTAGGGACACTCTAATGGGGACTGAGTGCTGCTCATAGATTTCCCTACTAGGACATTACATTTTAAGAAGACCCCTTCTAATGTTTCATTTCCTCTTTGGTTGGCTTTAATGTGTCTGATGAGGGATAGGAAGCAGGACACTTCTGTATTTTCTCATGCATAATTAATGGACATGTCGTTTGAGGCCTGGGACTCTGTTGATTTCCTAGTCGTGAAATGTAGAGCCTGGCTTCTAGAATCTGATATGGTCAACAAGTGTGCCTTTACTTTGTTATTGTTCCTTATTTGAATTCCAGAGTACCCCTTCCAACTATTCATCTGTATGACTAAGAGATACAGATTCACTCTTTGTAGATTGATCAAAATGTAAAAGAGTCATGGACCTCTCTTAAGTCATGCCCTATCCCTTTATGTTTTATCTTCTGAGGTAAAGATTTATGACTTCTCTGTTTTTTTTTGCTTTATAATATCGTTCATAGATAGTAATTTTTACATTTCCTTTGAGAAATAGTAGCCTTAAGTTTTACCTTAAAGTTTTATCTTTTATACAATAGACTTATATTGCTTTTGGAATAGAAACAATTAGCAAAGGTCGCATATCTGTCTATGCCCCTTAATTCTAGCACTAGGGAGTCAGAAACTGGTAGAGCTCTGTGAATTTGAGGCCACCTATGTCTACATAGTGAGTTCCAGGCCAGTCAGGACCACACAGTGAGACTTTGTCTCAAATAAAAACAAAAAACAAACAGCAACAGCAACAACAACAAAAAACAAAAGCAAATCTAGCATGCCTAGTATTAACATATACTATAACATTTAACATAACAAATCTAGCATGCCTAGTATTAACATATACTATAACATTTAACATAACAAATCTAGCATGCCTTGTATCAACATGTACTAAGCTTGTGTCACAAGGCTGATTTTTTTGTTTAACCCCAGGGCGAGTTGGTGAGTGTGCAATGCCAAGTCTGGGGCCTTGTCCTTAAGATTTATGGAGCAGGTGTGGACATGGGGTGGTGTTATAATGGAGCCATTCGGCTCTCACAGGCTCTCAGGTCTCCTCCTATTTGCCTTTTACCTCATCAATTAATGAGTCCTTTCCCCCACGATATTGGGTTTCTAGGAAGGTTTCAGTCCTCTGAGTGATAATGCAGCTAGAACGGTGTTCTCGCCCTCCTCACGTGTATGCGGATCCTTTCGGACTCATCGTGATGTGCCTGCTACCTGGGCATCTTTCACCTACCTTGTGCTAGGGCACTCACCCATTCCTGCTTTGCAGTGAAGACAGTCTTTTGTTTAGCTTCAGAAGTTGGACCTGGCTGCCCTGGAGAAGAGCCTCTTCCTAGATCTGCAGTCATGATGGTGCTTCATTCTCTAAATGGAGGAGGGCGAGGGTGAAAGCTACTGGCTGGAGGAGGCGGGGAGTGTGCTTCTCAGAGGCAACGTTTTTCCAGCCGACTAGCAGCAATTGGGTGTTTGCAATCCTTGCCCTCAGATGGCATTCTCTCAGGATCTCCCCACTTCCCATATAAGAAATTCCTACTATCAGTCACCCTTTCTTTAGAACCCCACAGCGTGGATGTCCTGGGTTCCTTTTGTTTGCAGTTACAGCCAGGCTGTGTGAGGCCCGGGTCTAAAGCAAGTGTCTATGTATGTAAAAGTTAGTGTATGGCGAGTGCCCCAGTGAGAGGCCTCATGGGTGGGGAAACTCAGAATCAGATTTCCTGTCAGAGTGGTCAGGGTTAAAGCAGGAGGACCCGGATCTGGGAGGCACAGAGGGTCGCTGCACTGGGCCTGGAGGGACTTATGCAGCAGGCGGGGTCTGTTCGAGTGAAGATGGAAATCTTAAAAAAAAAAAAAAACAGGTCTCTGTCATTCTACGGGGGCTGGAGGATGGTCACAAGAAGGGTAGGGAAGATGGTCTGAGTTCAGTCAAGATATCTGTAGAAAGCACACAGTGAGAGAACATGAGCCCTGTGGGACCTTTGAACCAGTCCATGCTCCCGAACATTCTGTGGTTGAGATAAGAAGGGTGAGCTCAGGTAGGGAAGCCAAGGCCTAGTCTCCAGGCCCAGAGAAACACTTCCTTCAGCTACAGGAAGTTTAGACGTGATGTGGCACCGTCTTTTCAAGTGCTCAGCTATGCCCTGATTTCCCCTTCAGTCACTCCAAGTCTGTTTCTCAGACTCTGTACAAGGAATGAAGCCCTGACCAGGGCCTTGGCCTTGGGCAGGTTCCCTTGTGGGTTCTGCACACCCTGATGCTTTCACAGTGACCTTCTGGTAGGGGATGGGGTGGGGAAGCTTTCTTCATGGGTGACCCCTGCTGACCTGTGGTGGTGTTAGGTCAGGAGGGCGACTTTACAAAGGTGCAAAGCGCCACTTTGAAGGGCATGGCTTTGTTTCCTATTCTTCCATTGCTTCACTAGGCTCAGAATTGAAATAAATAGGACACAGAAGTAAGTGTGGAAGGGGAAGGGGTGAAGAGTTAAGAGGACAGCGGAAGGGACCAGAGTGACCAGGGGGACAGACAAGGAACACTGGATAGCCAGAGTCAGGACAAGTGCCAAGCTGTAGGTCAGTCCTGGCATGGCCTAGTTTAGGCAGACAAGAGATGCCGGGCCATTTGTGTGAGCTTTGGGACAATCCTCAGTCATCTTGAAAGCTGGTGGCATTCATGGGCAACCTTCAGTGCTGGGTCATTTGCTCTGCCGTGAACACCAAGTACAACCAGTTTAAGGGCTTAAATCCCACATATCACTGAACATGGTCAACAATGTTTGTTAAAGCATGACTTACCTAGTATGGGTTTTTTTTTTCAAATCGCTTTATTGTTTCCTCTAATTGTTTAAGTAACATGTGCTCCCTGTGAATATTTGTACCATTTTATGGAAGAGTGTACAGGGTAAAGTAAAACACTCTATACCCTGTGCTGTGCTCAGTCAGCCATTGCTCTCTACCATGCCCTGTTTATCTCCTGTGTAGCCTATGTGCACACCCACCACCAGATACCTAAACAAAACACTCACAGAGCATTATTAAAATTAATTGTAGTACATAGATGGCCTCAGAAATGACTCCAAGGCAGTCTATGAAGCAGGATATTTGCTATGGCAGTTCCAAAGGGTGTGAAGTAGAAGTCATACCCTAAAGTCACTTAGACTGAGGGGTTGTTTGGAGAGCAAGGTAGAGATGATGAAGGTTTTTTGTTGGGAGAGAAAGTATGGACACTTTACCATCCTTAAAACCCATGCTTCCACTCTCTGTATAGAGTTGGTTAGAGGTATCTAAGCCTTTAAAAATCTGAAGGTCAAAAAGGAGCAATAGCCCAGGGAAGGGCTGTTAGGGCGTAGCCTCAAGCAGGACAGGTGAACAAGAGGAGACTAGTGTAGAGGTAACTAAGGACAGACTGACGCAGTTGATTTGGCACTGCTTTGTATCTCAAAGTTCATTCATCTCAGTGCAGTATCATCCTACTCTGCAGTCTGGGGCACTTTGCAGTGAAAAGAAACAAGGCTGTTGGGTCCTGGCTGCTCTTTCAAGTGGAAACATAGCGGAAGACAGGAACAGGGCAAATTCATGCTTGCTGGTGCAAAGTGCCTGGCATTTTCAGGGTTAACAAGATATGTGTTGTGTTCTGCAAGGGCTTTGACTTTACTTCTCTGATTTTAGGAATTAGGCTCTCTATCCAAGCACCCACGAGTCCTGGGAAAGGTCACTGATCTACCAGACTTCTGCTTGCACATTGGTTCACATTCACACATTCGTGTGGATGACTGGTGTTTGGTGGCAATCAGACTTTCATCACCATGCCAAAATTCCCAAGAGAACAACTTCAGGGAGCAAAGAATGATTTGGGCTCAGAGTTTCAGAGGTTTTTGGTTTATGGCTTGGTTGCTCCAATATAGTGGCGTGGTAGAGCATCCTGAGAAAGCAAAGTTGGTCACCTCATAGCTACCTGGAGGGAGAGGATAAAGGAGTAGAAAATGGGAGATGCATTAGAGACAAGATATAGCCACCAGAAATACATTCCTTCTAACTTACTTTCTCTATCTAAGCCCCATTTCCTAAAGCTTTAGACCCTCCCAAAATAGTACCACTTGTGGGAGACCAAGTCTTAACAGGGAAGCCCTTGGGAGACATTTCCTACTGTGCTGGATTGAATAAGAATGGCTCCTAGAAGCCCATATGTTAGTATGCTTGGTCCCAATTTGGTGAAAGTATTTGGGGAGAATTAGGAGGTGTGGCCATTTTGAAAGAGGTGTACTTCTCTGGTGGTGGGTTTTTGAAACACAGAAGCCTGTTATTCCCTTCCCTATGAGCTCTCTCTGCCACCAATATGCAGGTGAGGATGTAAGCCCCTCGCTTCTGCACCAGGACCATGCCTGCTTGTCTGCTGTCATGTTCCCAGTCATGATGACTATGGACTGGTATGAACTTGCCCTGATAAACGTTTTGGTTTTTTCCCTATAAGTTGCCTTAGTCCTGGTGCCTTATCACAGCAATAGAAAAGTAACTAAGGGATACACCAAATTAGAACAGTGATGGAGAATTGATGGAGAGGAATTCAAAAGTTTCTGTGGAAACACAGTTTTTTAAAAGGGGCCAGGTTTTCACGATAGGATCACAATTTCTCCTTATAGGCAAGGAGCTGGAGTCTGCCTGGTCAGAGGCACTCTAATGATTGCTGCTTTCATGTTTTATCCAGGCCTTTGAGCTTGGCCATGAAGGCCACACATAGCACAGCATTCTTCTCCTGGCAGCCCTTGCCTCCTAAACGGTCCTCTTTCAGATGGCAAAGTCCACATCAAAGAGGACAGAGAAAATCCACTGAGGGTTAATTTTACATGGTTTTGCACATAGCATTCAGATACTAACTTACTCATAACTGAGTTTGCAAGTCCATTTCCTCATGGAAGCAATCTGTGATGAGGCTAATGTCATACAAATAATCAGACTTCAGCAATGAACCTGATCTGTCTCAGTAGCAGTGATTAAATGCTCTGCAGATAGCGAGAGCTCCCTTAAGCACCATTAATATTCCTGGGACAATCATTTAGAGATTAATAATCGCCATATTTAGGCCATTTTCCCAAAGCACCAGGAGACTCGGAGACATCAATAGATTTAATATCTTGAAAGGACCTCACACGGTTGTTGATGGTACAGTACTTTTTAGGCCCCGAGGAACTGAAAGTGTGGAAGTGACTCAATTAGGTGTTGAATTCTCCTGGGGGAAAGTGGAAGCAGCACACACCTCCCCTCCCTTTGCTACCCGTTCTCCCTACCTCTTCCTCTTTAATAACTAGTGCCATCTTACGGGCCTTGCAAAGTAGAGTCAGGAAGATGGGTTGCCCTTGCAGGGAGCAGGATGTAGAGATAACCTGGCTGATGAAACAGGGTGAGCTGCAGGCCTGCCTGGGTTGCTCCAGATGGCGCTCAGCTGGCAGACCCCTGACTTGGTTTGTTTGATTTCCCCCCTGCTGATCTCTGACTCGTGGAACTATTCTTCTGATAAAGGAGCCTGGGAGCCAGTGAAGAGGACCTCCAGTCAGTCAGCTGCCCCATGGAGCAAAGAGGCAGGGATGCCAGTGTGCCCCAGCTGCAGAGAAAGGCTGGGATGGAATTGCTAAAGCATTCTTTTGCGGGCTGGTGATTCTGTTCTCAGCCACAACACTGCCTTTGAGGTGAGGCAAAGAATGCAGTGGCCCACTAAAGTGCCTGGAAAAGGTTTGAAGGTCAGGATTTAGCACAGGTTTGCCCTCGAGAGTGCCGACTTCAAATCACAGCGTCTAGAGCTACAGAGCTAACTACCTCAGACCATAGAGTAGACAGACCTGGCCAATTATGACGCTCCCAGGGAATATTCTCGATTTAAGCCATTTCTGTTGTGTATAGGCAAGTACCAGAATCCGCCTTCAGAATGACTGGGTCCGAGAGGGAATGGCTGGCTTACTTCAGGCATCTCTGCACTCAGGCCTTTAGCTTCCCCCTGGGGGTTCTGCCTCTCCATTATTTTGGGACTTGTTTTTAGGAGGACTTCTCTAGAGTAGGTTGTTCAAAACGTGTATCTGAGAAGGACTGGAACTGTCTACCATGTAGTTCCTGAAAAATATGTCTGATGGGTCTATCCTCTGGCTGAGGCTTTTATTGGCCGCATTTCTTTGGACTACTTAGTAAGGAGAAGCTCTTGATACCCTGGTCTCCCAGGTCAAAGGCTGTGGGGAGATATATGTCCTTAGGAAGGGGTGACAGGCAAATCACAGGGTAACTGAAAAGAAGGCCCCCTTGGCTTCCCATCCTGATTTCCCAAGTTACTTACCACTTACTAATTATGATTCCCAGGCAAGCTAAATAAAATCCCTAAAGTTCAGTTTCCTAGGTAGTGAGCGATTGTTGTCATCACCTCCCCCTGCGTTAGAGTAAAGCGTGAAATTCGGATGACCCAAAGGACTGAGTGAAGTTTGAGGTGTCCCATTTACTTTTTCTTTTTATTCTTCCTTTCCTTGCCTTGCCCTGCCCTGCCCTGCCCTGCCCTGCCCCCCTTTTCTTTCTTCTTTTTCTTTCTTCCTTTCCCTTTCTCTCCCATCCTTCCTTCCTTCTTTTTAGAACTATCTTTTCACATTTTACATATCAATCCGAGTTCCCACTCACTCTCCTCCTGCTGCTCCCCCCCACCATCCTCTCCCCCATCTCCTCTTCAGAGAGAGAGAAAGGCAAGACCAAGGCCCTCCTACCTGTATCTAGGCTGAGAAAGGTATTCCTACATAGGGAATGAGCTCCAAAAGGCCAGTTCATGCACTGGGAATAAATCTTGGTCCCACTGCCATTGGTCCCACAGACTGCCCAAGCCATGTAGCTGTCACCCACTATTAGTCCTGAGTCAGTGAACTCCCGCTAGCTTGGGTCAGTTGTTCCTGTGAGTATCCACATCATAGTCTCACCCTTTGCTCATATTATCACTCCTCCCTCTCTTCAACCGAACTCTGAGAGCTTGGTCCAGTGCTCAGCGAAATTCTTAGCACAAAACAATGCTTCAGCAACCAGCAGGAACTTCAAAGGGTGATTCTGGAGACAGCCAGATGTGTAGAGTGGGCAGTCTGTTGCTTTCTTGGCATATGGTTTCAAACTGGGAGGATGGTGTCCCACACGTCTCAAAAGGCCAATCTCGCCCACAGCTTAGGAAGTACTTGCTCATCATCTACTCCAGGCAAACAGAGACCACGGATGCCTTTCTTCAGCTACATAAGTGGAAGTGAAGGGAAGCGCCATGGTTGATCCAGGACTAGTGATTACAGCCTCTCTTGGGGGCCCCCTTGAAAAACCTCGGCTTTGCTGTACATTCAAGATTCAAACTCTTAGAATGTAGATGATATGTTATCCAAGAGAAAGACGTGGACATAGAGGGCCTTGGTATCCTAGAGGAACTGCCCACAGGGAAGGACTAGCATCTCCAGGGGCTGGACTGGGCCAGCAATGGGAGAGCAAGAGGTAGGGGACAGTTATTTTTCCTGCGAGATGAAAATGATGGAAACTTCACTAAGCAAACTCTCAGGACATCTGGAAGCATTCAAATAAGGATTGTTATGTTAGATCCTGTTGCCGAGTTAAATTCCTTTTCTGAGATACAGGAGTGCCATGGTTCTACGGCACGGTGTCCTCTCTGAGGCGCTGGATGCTGCAGTGATCAGTGGTCCCACTGTGAATTCCACAACAGTGGCTCAAGCACAGCATAAAAATGTAAGCGGAAAGAAGAAACACACTGAAGAAAATGAGACAGGATAGAGATACTGAAGATGTGGGGGAAATGCCAATAAAAGTGAAGGAAGCAAATTCTATTTACTCTTCTTTCTTTCTTTTTTTTGTATATTTGAAGAATTTTGTCTTACAGACAAGTAGAGTTTTAATAAAGTTTGAGGGGGCTGATGCTGGGTCCACTTGTGATTTTCTTATGGACTCTGTTGGAACCCTCATTCCTGGTCAAGGTGTCTCATCCTTTTGATGATAGTGGCCTGCCTGTCCCCAAAAGGGAATGTTGTGACACCATCAGGCATTTCTCAACAGTCTTCTCTCTGTAACTTAGGGACTCTCCTCTTTGTCCCTTTTGTACAGTAATTCCATCAAGCTGGTGAATCTGCTCTCCATATTTATCAGCACGTGGCTGACTGCAGCTGGATTCATCCACTTGGTAAGTAGCCTTGAAGACCCTGCCTTCTTGGCTGGCAGGGAGCAAGCCCTTGAAGAGTCTGTCATTTTATTACTTAATAGTTGTTTCTTTGAGGAAGACAAGTTTAGCTGTAGACACAGGAAAGAGGAACAAACCACACAGTTTTCAGAATTCCCGACCCTTTACTCCTCCACAAACTAGTTCCAAATGGTGAGTAATGCTCACACCATCGACCTATATTTTTCAGCCTTACCTGTATTGTTTCAAGGAGACTTGCAGTTTTCATTTTGTATGCAATAACCTAATGAAACCACCAGATGGCAGTGCTTCCACACCAAACGCCAAGAAAAAGTCTAGTGCCAAAGCTCAAAGCATGAACCACACAGCTCTTTGTAAAGAACAAGTTCAGATCCCTGGATGTGTCCCTACTTCTCTCTCACAAGACCACAAGACTTTGCCTTTGTTTCTCTTACTTTATGACTTGTCAAGTTGTTTCAACCCGCCCATCCATGTTTTTTTTTTGACTCTTTGAATACTATTACTAAGTCCAACCCTGACTTTCAGAGAGCATAGTTACTATTAAATGCATATTTCGTATGCACTTAAACTGCTACAACTGGCTATACAACTTGAAATAAATGACTTTGTTTCCATCAGCTGCTAAACCAGATAATTGGGGATTTTACACAACGATTTAAAAGCACATATATTTATTTTTAATTATGTGTATGCCTGTGTCTCTGTGTAGAGACATGTGCACATGTGTGTATGTGCCCATGGAGGCAAGAAGAGGACTTTAAGTCTTTAAATCTAAGAAGAGCTATGGTTACAGGTGATTGCAAGCTTCTAGAAGCGAATGCTGGACACTGAACTCCAGTCCTCTGGAAGAGCAGTATGTGTTCTTAACCATTGAACTACCTTTCCAGTCCCTACCCAACTATTTATACTGGTGACATTCTAGTCAAATGCCTCACCACCACCACTTAACATCGTAATTCCGGCTGAAGCCCGTGGCTAAGAGCAGTCTGAACCCCCCCAGATCCTGCTAACACCCACTCCCTGCTCCCTTCTGGGTCCCTGCTACACTCACAGGGCCAGGCCCCGTAGCTGTGCAGACCTCAGGAACCCTGCAGCCCCAGCTGAACCGATTGTTGACCCTTTCCTGAGGCAGTCTGCAGGGCGGTTAGTCTAGAGATTCTGTGGGTGCAGTTCCTCTTACTCCAGAGGAAGGTTCCCAAGCTGGCAGTGCAGAGTTGCCAGTGGGGCTTCTGCCGAGAAAGCGACTGCAGCCTCAAAAGTGGAGATGATGTTTGGGGTTCAGGCAGAACCTGAGTCAGGTCTGATTTCCTTAGTTAATGATGAAAAGAAGTGTAGAGCCCTTTGTGGAAGGTCTAGGACATCAGGATTCCTAGGGGAGATGGGGAAAGAGCTGTCTCACATCTGCCTTAAAGGGGATGCTGTAAAGGGGGCAGAGTATCAGAATTTCCATCCCCTCTCCTTGATGCCCCAGTCAGAGGACATTGTCTGTTGCTACTTCCTCTTCTGCGGTAGCAACTGAGGGTTTCTGGGACACCATGCCTCAGTGACTAGCCAGGGTGGCACAGTCTAACTTGTACCCTGTACTGAGAGTAGGAAGCTTATGCAAAAAGAGCCCTCTGGAGGTCCGGGACTTCCTGGTTCCCATATACAGTACATATGGACTTCTGATGAGTTTCTTTTCTCTTCCCAACCTCCTCTTGCTGTAGGTGGAGAATTCAGGGGACCCATGGGAAAATTTCCAAAACAACCAGGCACTGACATACTGGGAATGTGTCTACTTACTCATGGTCACAATGTCTACAGTGGGCTATGGGGATGTTTATGCCAAAACTACGCTTGGACGCCTCTTCATGGTCTTCTTCATCCTCGGGGGACTGGTAAAAATAACCCTCTTTTTTTTTATTATGTCCATTTTAATGGCGATTCATATTTGCTACTGCCCACTTCTTTAGACTTTGTGTTCTGCACTGGAAGCAAGTAACTGCCTTTATGCAACCAGGCAAGCTAAATCCAAACCCCATGGTGACTTGATTGTGTATTTCTGTAATGTTATGTTTGATCCTTAGACCCAGGCATATTGTCCTCATTGGGGACAGCCACAGAGCTAGAAACACCTGATTGTCTTAAGAGATGGATGCCATTAATAAACGAGAGTGTCCTTTAGTAGTGGGATTCAGATATGGGTGCTGCTACTGACTCTGGGAGATGCTGTCCAGACTCTGCAGACAGATGGCGGTTTCAAGAACTCCCTTCCCCTTTATGTTCCTACCCAGACTTTCAGCAAGCACTGTGGCTGGCACCTGCCCTAAAGAGCAGGGTCCCCTCATTTAGGAAATGTCACTATAGTAATAACGTGGCACTGTCCAAAGCCTACTCCATTTATCTCCTCAAAACTGACTTCCCTGGTCCCTATGTATTAAGAGGCCACTGCATACGATGTAATTACAGAGAGTTTCCAGGCAGCATATTGGCGGTTGCTGCATTTTGTCTATCAGAGCAGCTCATAATAAAGTATGATTGTTTTTCTGCATATGAAGTAAGCAATTAAGATTATAGTCCATAAGCAGTTGTTGCATATGTGCACTCCACACACATTTATATGAAGTGATGCATACATTTCTCTCTGTTCTGTATGCATAGGACATGTACATTTTGAAAATGTATATAAACGTGTGTGGTGGTGGACATTAACACCATTTCTGCAGGGCCCATAGAGAAGGAAACCCTATTATCCAGCCACAGGACAGTCTTGGTTGGGCAAAACATGGCAGTTTCGTGTCTCCTTGCTATCTTCTCCTCTTGTATGATTTCCAGAATTGACCTCTTACGCTTTTTAGTCATTTTAAATGAACATGTTTATTTTTAATCCTCTTTTAGTGTTTAGTGTCTTTAGCCACCCATGAAAATATTCCCCTTTGTGTGTTATTTGAAAGGACTTTTCTGACAATAATATATGCACGTATATGCATGTGTGCCTATGTTTGTATGCCCATGAGCATGCGTGTGTGTGTATATGTGTGTGTATGCACCTGTGTGTGTGCGTGCATGTATGCCTGAGTGCCTGTGCATATGTACTTATGTCTGTCCATCCATGCATGTCAGTGTTTGTGTGTGCATGCAGGCGTGTGCTTTCACAAGTCTGCAAGCCTATTAGCTACTTTCTTTCAGAAAGAAGACATCAACTCATTTACTCTTGTCTCCTTCATATATATATATATTTTTTTTTGACTGTGGTTTGTTGTTTGTCCTCTAGGCTGACTTCTGTTTGTTCCATCCTGTACATTTCTAGGAACTTTCCCCTTTGTCCTGTTATTTTTGTATAGTCCGACACATGAATACGCGCCTTTACAGGTCTAATCCTTTTGTGTTTTCAGATCTTAGTATTCCCCCTTCTGAAAATGTCACCCTTTCTTTGGCCTGTCTTTTTAGTCTCTCTTCTGTCTCCCCTCTTCTCCTTAGGCCATGTTTGCCAGCTACGTCCCTGAAATCATAGAGTTAATAGGAAACCGCAAGAAATACGGGGGCTCCTATAGCGCGGTTAGTGGAAGAAAGTAAGTATGCCAAGAGGTTTCGTGGCCTCCGCGGCGTAGGAGCCTGTCTGCATGCCTTTTCTGTTTGGCTCTTGTTTCTTTGTCTCATGCATGTAGGCAATGTTTGCCCGCTACGTGCCCGAAATTGCTGCTCTCATCCTGAATCGGAATAAATTCGGCGGAACTTTTAACAAACATGGAGGCAGAAAGTAAGTCAGTTGCACCAGAGGAGATGTGCTTGAGTGATCCGAAGAGCCCTGTGTCTGCAGCATGGGATCATGCCCCACCCCTGCCCTGCCCACTTCTTTAATGAGGGAGGGTGCACATTCTGCACCACCAGAATTTCAGAGGTTTCACCAGGGCTTCAGAGCACAGAGGATGGTTGGACCCTCTTGACATCCTGTGGCCATTCACAATTTCCAAGAGATAACGGTGAATTTATTTAAAGAGGTCCATGTGCTGCCTGGACTGTATTTTTCTACCCTCATTCCTAATATATACACTAAACTCATCTCATGAGCTAATGATATGATCAAACTCTTGTCCCTCCAACGGAGGTGGCATCACCCTCTGGGAGATTTGGCATGTGCACTAATGTGAGCTAGAACTACAGCATAGGGAAGGACTGGCCCATCTGCCCTATGGAATGCCCGTGACCACCAGGAAACACATTCTTCTCTGAAGTAGTGATTTTCCCACTTTGTAGTTAAAGGGTCTTACTGCACAGGGGAAGTGCCTCCAGGGCAGGAAGTGTTATACTCGTGGTGTCCAGGTGCCACAGGCATGCTGAATTTCCCAAATAGGAAGGTTCCCTTCTTTGGGAACTATTTCAGTTTGTGCCCCGGTCACTTTGTCAGCATCAATATCAGGGCATGCATCCAGTAGGGACTAAAAGTTTTATTCTAATGCTGATGTCAGGACCTTATTCTCCTGATCCTCTGCCAGAGGGCCATCTCAACAGAAGGGTGTTGTTAGGAGGATTGGCTGGCTGCAACCATCTCCACAAGTCAGCAAATCCTTGCTTTGAAAGCTTTCAGAGAGCCATCCGGCTTTGTTTTTATTTCAAAAATGATATGACATGCATAGAATGAAATAGCACACATTCTGTGCACACCTAGAAGAATGTGTACTGACCATCCACATCTGTATTAAAGTGTGGACAACTGCCCCATGCATGCTCATCCCCTGTCCCCCATTATGGAGCTCGTGTTCTTTGTTGTTTATTCTTACTTATTGTCACATAATTAGCTTAGTCTGGTGTTTAAGAGAACTACAACGGCCTATAGAAAATACCCCCCCATGGCTGCCCCTTCCATCTTGACAGTTGGCCATGCTGGATGTAGCTCAGGGAGCATCTCCATGATTGCTGTCCAATGCATCCTGAGCTCAGGTGTCCAGTCTTCTGTTCAGAAAATGAGGAGGTGGAGAAAGGGCTCATTTCCTTAAACTACCAACAGGACAGCAGTTTCCTCTCATAGACACAAAGGATATTGGGAAAGGAGGCCAGTTGGCATCTTCTCAGGAAGGCGTTGTGTCTCCCCATCTCCCCCACATAAGCTTCTCCCCTTCCTATTATCTCAACAGTCCTGGATGAGGTTAGAACCAAGCTGTCTGGATGTCAGGGCCATTGATTAGTTCAAAAAGTCCAAAAAAGCCCAAAGATTCTCGCTCTGTTATTTATCTCAAACCAGGAAGAAAACAGCTTCCTAATCTGGTGTGCCTTTGAGATATGGACAGGTCTTTGTAATGTGGAAGGCATTCTGAGTGTTCTAGACCCTCTTATAGCTGTCCCAGTGCACTGGTCTCAGCCAGCATCTCCTTAGCCCTGTCCCCAGTGAAGTCAATAAAATCAATGGCTTTGAAACCAAAGTTGAAAGTATTTCTTGACTCCCATTCCAGGTGGGAATTTCCTTTTCACTTTCTTCTTCTTCTTCTTCTTCTTCTTCTTCTTCTTCTTCTTCTTCTTCTTCTTCTTCTTCTTCTTTCTTCTTTCTTCTTTCTTCTTTCTTCTTTCTTCTTTCTTCTTCCCTCCTCCTCCTCCTCCTCCTCCTCCTCCTCCTCCTCCTCCTCCTCC